ACCTGTTAAAACAATTTAATATCATTAGTTGTATGTTCACTAGATTTGTTATTATTTTATTATTAATATTAATTACCATTGTTAGCATCTGTGTTCTATGAATTTTTTGACCAACTCAGTACGCTTTATTTTTGTAAATAAAAATGCGTTTGATTGGCTCAAACATTAAATCGATAAGTAGTTTGTGCATCAAATGCAAGGATATCATCTAAGAGCAACTCTATATCACAAGAAGAAATTTGTTAAAATAAAAATTAACCTAAATAAAATAAACCACACAAAAATATAAAATAAAAAATTCATTCTAATTAAAACAGAACATGTAAAATAGAGATTTATTTAAATGTCAGGAAGCCACTCCAACAGACGACGACCTTTACACCCGAATCAGTTTACTTTTTTCCGGTTCAAATTGCATCACAAATTACGGCATTGAATTGGAACCTAAAAAGATTAAAAGTTAACCTGGATATCATATTGAGTCAATTTATACTCATTGTATTTTTCAGTTTTGATGAAAAATACAATGAGTATGAAATGTCACCAACAATCTATAAGATACTGATTCATGGTGGAGTGGTCATTCAAATCGGTTAGTTATCAAAAGATGCTACAGAGACCAAGAGAATTTTAGGCAGTATAGGCTCGATTTTGCTAAAAACTGTTCACGGATTCTTTGCAAAACAAATATTTTGCACAAATCATTACCAAGTTCGGATCAATTCCCGAACAGTAATAAACGTAGATCACAAAAGAAAGGTAATTCATTTTCGAAAGTCTGCTTGCTTTTAGTGAATCTTCCAAGTCCTCAGATGTACAATGATGAAAAAGAAGATTCAGATAATGATTAAACTGATTGTGAAATCGACTAATTGGATAGCCTGGAACCGCAATGAAAATAAGTTTTTATTAAACGAATGTGCATGTCTATCAATAAAATTTAGTTTTTATTTCATTACAAAAATCTTATAATTTTGACCGATTGTTTTATTTAAATACTCCTCTGTGCGCTGCCTCTCATCCTATGTATCTATATCGATTCCTATTATTTCTGTAATTGATTTATGAATAGACTCATTCATGTGATCCGAAGAGAGGAAACATCACAAAGATGAACCAATTGTTGTCGTTTATTGTAGATTTCCACTTCGGCAACTTTCATACGTCAAATATCTTAAGCTCCTCATTCGAACTGCTGTCGAAGTTTCCATGGGCGTGTGAAAACTTTTACCGCTCTCTCTACATCAAAAGCAGTCCTTTCATTCAATAATTTTCACCCTTATCAGCCCGATTATTAACGTTTCAGTAGTAGGTACTAAAAGTGACTGACATATCAAAAACAACGAAATGAGGTCAAACTCGGCATAAGTTTATAAATACTGTATTATGACTAAAAATATGTACGTTAATAGTATAAAATATTTGCAAAAGCGAAGTTAAAGAGGTCCTGATTTTGATTCAGTATGTTGATAGGGTTTTTTGTTCAGAAATGAAATTTTGCTAATGGTCTTAGTCTTGCAGAAGCAAGTCATAGTTTTGCATTAAAGATTTTTGCAATGTTTTGCCACATCTAAAGTAAAATTTGAGGAAATGCAACTAGAGTAACTACATTGCCTTGTACTGCGGCTATCTTCGGTAGTACCTACTGTATTGACAACGTGTAAGAAGATTATATCTCGAAGTTGCTGCTGAGTCTACACCATTGATTGACAAACTTAAAAAACCAGAAATTTTTGCTGTTAATTGATATTCTTAAGAGGAGACTTTTGAGAAATATACATTGCAATTTTAAGTTTTGTAAATAACTAGAAATAATCTTCTGGCAGGATGTAAAAATGGAACAATTGAGATATCGAGTTTCTCCCATATTAGTTTTACTACGTATTTAGTTAATATGAAAATACCTTTATTAGCACTATCCGCAACTTCGTCCACGTAAAACAATCGAGAATCGAAGATTAAGCCGTACAGACAGACATATAAAAATATTTTTTTGAATCCTTTGTTTCTTAATAGCATTCAAACAATCGTCAAAAGAGCAGTTACTTTAATATTGCAGATTTTCTATGTATACACATCTATCACATATTACTTTAAAAACGTGACCCTTTTTTTTGATGTAGAGTGACTTGTTGGTCAAGTTTCAGAAACGTAATTTCGTTTTTGGTCTTCAAGGAGTTTTGTTTTTTATTTTGCAGACTGTATATTCTTTGTTCAAATGGATTTGATTTTAGCAAAATCATGGTGAAGATTGCGAAAATGTCATGTCATGTCATACAGTCAAGTATTCTGAATATTCAAACATAAAATACTTAGTGAGACCAGCAGTAAAGAAATAAACATTCATTGCTAATTACTATAAACAGATTCATGTTGGTTTTATCAATGTAATACTGTTTCATACCTATCCGAATTTTAATTGGTTTCGTTTATTTTGTATATTTATATATTTTACCTAACAGTAACACAATAAGCGTATACATTTCGGGTGATAAATGTTCCGCTGTATAGATATAACAGATAAAATTTAGTAGATTATGATTCGATTAAAAAAGGGGATCTGACCATTGGCGATTTATATAATTAAGAGCGATTGCATCCGAATTTTAGACATATACCACTAATAACAGTAATACATTAGTATGACAGATTTCTAGATAATCACCGATCAATTAAAAACGACAACCATCAATTAGTCTATGCGAGGACACGTGGAACTTGTTGGAAATGAAGTTGACAAATTGATCAATCACAGAACATGGATAGCTAGTCAACAACCCTTTTCTACACGAATGGTTAAATGAACAGGTTTTCTGCTAATTTATACGTATTACTAATAGACACAATATCCCTTGTTTAAAACTATAAACTTGGAAAATATAAATGCGTGAGTGTTCGAGCCCAAAATAAATCGACGGACAGCACGCAAGATTTCGTTTTTGTAATAAAATTTTTTGATATAGAATTGCATCTATCTTGACGATACATACAGATGTTTAAATGATACATTGAAAGTTCATATTTTTGAAAATGGTTATATAATGAATTCTGGTAGTAAACCACACAATTCATTAAAAAAGACAGTCCTAACTCTTTATATTTCCATCATATTGGTAGTAGCATAAAAATAAATTTAAAAAAATATTCAGTTGTTTAATGAAAACAATGGCGTTTACTTTATTTATTTAGAAAACCAGAGCCGACGTTTCGTCCAAGTTGTTCGTCTTTCTCAAAATTAGTTTTATTTAGTTAAAAATGTAACGCTGATGGATTTGGTTAAGTGGTATACTTCATTTACTTTCTCTAGCGATGTGCCCCTTCCAATGTCTAGGATGCGCGCTGGCAAAATCGTAGAAAAGCTCATTATAATCGCGACTCTTGTTCATTAAACGTACTTTTTCATACAGTACCTGCCAAAAGTTTTGTTCAATCATGAATAGTAGTGCGCGTCGAAAACAAGCGTTGAAGCCTTTAATATGTCTTCAAATATAAATAAACATCTCGTCGATATTTTCAGTAGTAATTGGTACCAATAGCAGCACATTTGAGCAATGCAATTTTAGTGGATAAAATGGTCAATTATTCCGTGCAGTACTGTACGGATTATACGCTCCTCACCGGTTAAGAGTTGAGCGAGAGTTGTCTCCTTTCTTTTCTGGCCTAGTGCTGTTCTTTTCTACTTTTCGCCGGTCAAACTGAAGGTCACATCGCTAGAGAAAGTAAACGAAGTATACATGCTCTAAAATCAACCAAAATCTATCAGCCTTACATTGTTAACTAATTAAAATTAGCCTTAAGAAAGAAACCCCAACAACGTCGCCTGTGGCTTTTGTTTAATAAATAAGGTACTTTTAACCCCAATATCGTTTTGATTAAATAAACGAATACAAAATAGGGGAAGAATGATCAATAGAATAAAAAAAAAGTATGTCTTCGAAATTGTTATACTTACAATTAGTAACGTTTTTGATAAAGAGGATGAGTCAAATTCGTACTTACCCTTTTTTCATATTACAGTAAAAGGAGCAGATAAAAATAGAAAATTTGAACAGTGATTTGGAATGGAGTTTTTTAAAAGATTCGAGAAGGCCATAAAGTTAATTGGAATTTTGGCCTTTCAGCACTAAAGTATTTGTAATTAAATCAGGATCGATTCATTTCTTTTAAATACGTTAGATCATTTTAACGTACAAATTTAATCTTCTGCAATATCCGTTTCATTCAATTAAAGTTCATTCGTTATTAAACTGCATTAAAATTTCTGTAACTCCAACAGTCATCTACACAAAGTTACAGTTAGGTACAAAAAAGCGATAATATTGTACAATTAATTAATTTACAGTAAAATTGAAACACGTGTTTGTTATCAAAATAATAAGATTAAAAGAAACAATTATAAATCGCATGTGAATCAATAAACTCCCTGTACGATTCATGTAGTCGTAAAAAGTCACTAAATTCTCTAGAAAAAACTGCGACCTAAACACATTTGACTTTCAATTATGTGTTCTTTGACAAACCGTTTGTAGGGGTGGAACGTTCAGTATTTATGTATGTGTAAATAGAACGTCGAACATTGTGAAAATTTGACGTAGGCTACAGTACACAGAATATGAATGAGACAAAGTTCTTGCGAAATGCAAACCAACCAGTATATTCGAAAAAGCTCAACTTTGTTTGCACTAGTGCGGAAAACCGGATGCAAGCACGGCTTTGGGAGAATAATAAATGTTCGGAGAGCAAAGAATTCAGTTGCACGACTCGAACGGGTATGTACCGGTCGTGTTCGCTAATAATAATTAATGTTTTCCTTCTTCGTGTTGTTGAAAAATCATGAGTTGTACGCTTACAATGGGTGTTGTGAGAATAAACGGACTGCCTATAGGTACAATATACTTTATTTCTATTTCCGAATTTTTGATGAAAATAGACATCGTTCCTTATTCACAGTAAATTTATGAAAATTTGTAATATCATTACTATCTACAGTCAAAATCTGTTATAACGACACCGAAAGGAACTACTCATATTTGGTCGTAAAAACCGATAGTCGTAACAACCGATGACGTTGTTATTAAGTACCTAATACCTACTATTATTGAATGTGTGATTAATACATTCATGTTATTTATTTCACATAAAACGTCGTAACAACCGATGACGTTGTTATTAAGTACCTAATACCTACTATTATTGAATGTGTGATTAATAACTACATTTTATTTATTTCACATAAAACGTATAATAAAAAGACATTACCTACATATAATTATCATATATACACATACACATATACACTTGTGTCGTGCGTACGCACCCTTTAGTTCCTGTTGAATTTTAATTAATGTATCGGCATAATTTCCCTGCACGTGAAACTGTTCATTAAAAAGAACAATTTTTCGAAATACACTGACAGCATTAAGACCATCATTCAAAGTTGGCACTATAAATTGTTCTTTAGTCTCTTCTGTTCGTCATTTTCCTCTTGAACTTCTTCCGTAACTGATGCACAAATTGCAATAGAATTATCCACATCAATAAACACCTCAGCTTCAGTAGTAGATATTCTGAGATTTACAATAGACCCTAAACTCGACACGTTTTTGTTTACTTTTGCGATCTTAATGGTCATTTAGTGTACCACATGTGGATACTGTTACCTTTTCCAATGTTTATAATTCAGCTGGTCGTTCTAACAGATATAATTCTCCGAAAATATCAATTAAATGTAGTCGCTTAAAGAGATATGTCGTAATAAGCAATGTCGTAAAAGCCAATGTTTTTTATAAGGCGGTCGTAACACAATTCAGCCGGGACCTATGATATTGGTCAATATAACCGGTATGTTGTTCTAAACGATGTCGTAGTAAACGGTTTTGACTGTACTTTGGTTGTACTTACATTAACGTATTTTTTATTGAAATTGTATCTATCACGGTATATACTGTCTATTAAAATCCTGAGGAATGCTGAATCGTCTGTCCATACAAATTTTGTTCAAGATATAAACTTTAGTATAATACGAGGGTGCATTTAAAGTAGGGATTATAGAATTGGTGCTAACTGAAATAAAATTTTCGATGATTCTATTTTTATATGTGGGTCAAACGGCAGAATACATTAACGACGGAATTATGAGGACGTATTTATATAAAAGTTATTCTAGGAGTTACTTACAGTAAATTTTGATTATATATCATAAGGAATAAACTGGTAAACTTCAGATTCATTTATCAGATTAGTAGATAGATTTTAAAGTAACAAAAGTTGTTCGTAAATAAATATAATTTTAACAATTACAGTGTAAACCCTTTATAACGTCACTTGATTTAACGACAAACTCCTTAAAACGTCGAAATTGCTTGACTTTGGTTGGTTTACATTGTTTTCTATACAATATTACACTCTATATAGCGTCACGCTCACTCTGTTTAACGACAACAATGCGGCATTATAAATCATTGAGCAGTACTTTCTAAGTTGCCGAAATAGATAAGAACTGCAGCTGTGTACGTTGTTGAAGAAGANTATATTAATAAAATCTGTAATTTTAGTTTGTTTGGAACACTTGTGTCGTGCGTACGCACCCTATAGTTCCTGTTGAATTTTAATTAATGTATCGTCATAATTTCCCTGCACGTGAAACTGTTCATTAAAAAGAACAATTTTTCGTAATACTCTGACAGCATTAAGGCCATGATTCAATGTTGGCAC